GGAATGCCGCTCGATGTTTTGGTTTGCAATGCTGCTGTCTACTTCCCCACAGCTGGTGAACCCACCTACACAGCCGACGGTTTTGAGATGAGTGTCGGGGTCAACCATATCGGCCATTTCTTACTTGCTCGAGAGCTGCTCGAGGATATGAAGCAGTCCGATTATCCTTCTCGGCGCCTTATTATTGTTGGCTCCATCACAGGTATGTTTTGCTGATTATAATTTTTTTTTATGGAAGTTCTTTAAGCTTCAAAGTTGACTCCTTGACCTAATCAATCCTTAATTACTCAAAATAGTTAATTCTATTTATAGCAAGTGTGCTAACAAATGATGTTAAAAAAATAGTTTATTTACTATTAATGATTCATGTGGGAGAAAAGCTTGTTGTTGTTGTTGTACTATTAATGATTAATTAGCATAATTAATTTACTGAGCCAATTGAAGTGAATAATTACACTTTCATTCTCCTAAAGCATAGTTAACAAAGAAATTGGGTTCATCATCTTATCATGATCCTTAATTAGTGTATCCCAACAATTTGAGATCAGTTTATAAATCCTGATTTTTCATCATTTTATTGGCTAATTAAAATAGTATTTCAAAATTAGAAATGCTAGATGGTACTTGGAATTGAGCTAATCCAATTCCATTTTGGAGTACTTTGGATTTGTTAAGTAATTTAAGGTGGTGGATCAAAGTTGGGCTCAATTACAAAAGATGACTGGGAGAGCTGTTTACAATGCTGTGCAGGGAACACAAACACATTGGCCGGCAACATACCACCAAAGGCGAATCTCGGAGATCTCCGTGGACTTGCAGGCGGGCTGAATGAGACGACCGGGTCGCCGATGATTGACGGTGGCAACTTCGACGGCGCAAAGGCTTACAAGGACAGCAAGGTTTGCAACATGCTTACGATGCAGGAATTTCACCGGCGATACCATGAGGACACAGGCATAAGCTTCACTTCCCTCTACCCTGGCTGCATCGCCACAACCGGCCTATTCAGAGAACACATCGGTCTCTTCCGTACCCTCTTCCCTCCTTTCCAGAAATATATCACCAAAGGCTTTGTCTCTGAAGAGGAAGCAGGCAACAGGCTTGCACAGGTACAATCTAGCTTCATTTAGGGGCTGTTTGGGCTGTTTGGTACCTGATTTATTAAATGTCAACACAAAGAAATTGGATTTCCTAAATTCAAGATTTAAAAGTTGTTATTTTTTTTTCTGTCAGAGAAGATTTAAATTAAATTCAACTTAAATATATTATCTGCCCCTTGATCGATTTATCTTGTATTGGTGTGCTATGGATTGTGTCCATTTAAGGGAATATTATTCATAAAAAGATATGATGTTGGTCCTCCCCAATTCAGATACAAGCAACATTGAATCGAATAAGCAAATTTTTTTTTGGAAGATTTACACATATACCAATCAGTTCTTATTTATTTATGTATTAAAAAATATATTTCACTTTTTAAAAATTTAAATAAAGATAATTTTGATGTGATATGAAAGATTTACATGATATAAATGTAAAAAAAATGTTAGATATGTAAATACATAAGAATTTAGTGATGTGTATGTAAATGCCCCATTTTTTTTTAATATAAATTAATATTTCAGGTGGTGAGTGATCCAAGCTTGGCCAAGTCAGGCGTGTACTGGAGCTGGAACAAGAACAGTGCGTCATTTGAGAACCAGCTTTCGCAGGAGGCCAGTGATGTGGAGAAGGCTCGGAAGGTGTGGGAGATGACCGAGAAGTTGCTCGGCCTGGCGTGATGGCTGGATGCTCTCTTCTTCGTTGCTGATTGATATCTTCTCTGTTTCTTTTGCTTGCTTCTGCTGCTGTTGCTGGTGCATGTTGTGAATTTTGTTGTGCTAGTTTTAGGTGTTGTAGAAAATAAATGTGTGTCAGCATTCATTTTCCTTGGAGTAGCTGAGATGTCATTTCTCCTTTACTAGTTGTAGTCAGAAATATTTTGAAACCTTGAGCCATGGTGTAATTGTTTAAAATTTTGTGTTCGGTTAATTTTGCTGCAATCTAAGTTTTATAAATATAAATTAAATATTTAAAATATTTGTGCTTTTGAGATTTTTATTTAGGAATTAAATAATAAAAATATTTATATGTTATTTAGGGGTATTTATATATATACCACATAATTCTTGAATATTTACTTGCATGTTTACTTATAGCATTCAAATCTTTAGCATGAAATCAGAAGTACCATAATCATCCACTTTTTAAAGGTAAAGTACACCTTTTCATGGATGAATTTTTGAAATTAAAATATTGAAAGTATAAATATAAAAGTTTAGGACATATGAGAATTGTGTTGATTGTATGTAAATTTGTTTAAAATTTATGATAAAATAATATTTTTTAAGTTATGATCATAAAATATGGTTCACATTCATATTTATTTTGAAAATTGGAACGCACTAAATCTAAAGTGTCAATGATGTGTAACTTATCTTAGTTTTACTTTGCTTTTATATGTGATCAATAAACTTAGGGTGTGTTTGGGACATCATATGAGCCTTGTTATAGTCGTGCATCACGTCACTCTTGTGCTTGTATCGACATCGTGACATTGTTTTGTAAAAGCTACCACATCAAATAGGTATTTCGCAAACTCATTTGTATACATGTGGTCCATGATTTTGATGTCTTCTTACTCGACTCTTTCAACATTATCTTCCCAATATTTTTGAACTCTAGTGAAGCTGCTTTGATTGTTCTTCTCTCATTTGGGTGTCTTTCTTTTTTAAAGATATCAAAAAATAAACTTTGATTTTCCTATTTTTCTTCTCTCTTTTGTTTGTGTTCAAACCCCTTTGCTATAATGCTTAGAGCTCAGCTCCTCCACTTCTCCTCTTATGTTATATGATTTTATGGGGCTTATCTTGAGTACCTTATGTTCTTTCATTTTATGTTGTGAAGCTTCTGTTCTATAAGTTTATGTTGAGTAATTTGTGTTCTTTGGGTTGCCGAGCACCATGCGCTCTTAGGGTCTAGCATGAGAAGCTTCTATTATTTGTGTTTATGCTAAGTAACTTATGTGATTTGGGTTTATGCTAAGAAGTTGGTGTTCTTTGGGTTGTTGAAGACCATATGTTCATTAGGTTTATGTTGCGAAGGTTATGTTCCCTATGTTTATGGCATGAACCTTTTGTTCTTCAGGTTTATATGATGATTAACTTTTATGTTATGGAGATAAAATATTACAAATTGAAGAATGTCTCTGGTTACTAAAGAATTTTATTTGGAGAGTGAAGCAACAAAAAAAAATTACTTTTTGTTTAGAATATGTGAATATGGATTTCCTTGTTGGAATTCCATGAACATTAAGGAAATGTGATTCTATTTTTATTATGATTATTCTCATTGGACTATCAATTTATGCGCATCATCTAATATCAAAATTTCATATAGATAAAACTTGCAAAATTGAATAGTACTCTCTAGGATCCAAATGAAGATTTATGTTTAAGAAAGATCTATATGCATGCATGATTTCTATGTATACATACATCAAGTTACTAAACTCTAGCATTTCATGAGAAGCAGCTAAAAAATTACAATCGCACAAAATAGTTACTCTGGTTACATAAGAAGTAGCACAAATTAATTTGCACCTAACATCAGTGTTTTGGTTGTATGTCAATACGACTTTAAGTATTTTTGATGGTGTACACTTGCAATTCATTGAAGATTGTCACCAAGGATGAGTTAACCACCATGATTCACACATTTGGTTTTATGCTTAAAGATTTGTAGTTAACTCAAAGTATGACACTAAACTTAATAATATAGAGATAAATCACACATATGTTTCGTAAGAGGCTTATGAATGCAAGGTTTGTTAGTCAATAATAGACTGATACTTTGTTTCAACTAAGAGAATAAATTATAAATACCTTAGTTCATGAATAAAACATTTATGGCTAGTTATATTTGTTGTATACCTTAGACATTTTGTTTTAGTGAGAAAGTATTTCTTCTTTTTCTTTATGTAATTTAATGGTTATTGAAATGTGTATTTTTTTGGAATCTAACACAGTATTATATACTATGTAATATTGTTTGGTTTCAAATTGCTTTTTTTTTTTTGTGTGTAGGTCTATGATGAGCCATATGACCTAGGAATATTACTGGATAGTCTTTATGCCGCGTGGCTTTCTGATATACATGAGATTGGTATTCAATCCTACTCTAATTTTGTGGTTTTTTAGTTTAATTTTAGAATTTTAACATCTAAATATGCTTATTTTCTATGTTAAATCAAGTGTTCTTAAGAGGTATGAATCCAAGGACATCTACTACCTCTAGAGTTCTATACTACAATTGTGTTATGCAATGATGTATATTTACTTAACGACAAACTAATAATGGGAGACGATTTCATTGGTGTCCCAAAAATAGATCACTTGATCATTTTAGTTTTGTATATGGTATGTTAACTATAAGGAATCCACCCTAAATAGTGATCATATGTAAAGAAATATTTTGGAAAGAAAATTTTTCAAAAGTCTTATTCATTTAAACATGAAAAGTAATATTATAATAACATTACTTGTTGTTATTGTAATTTTAATTTTTCATGTTATTCTATTGTAAGTGATGTATTACACTTGATGTAATATAATAATTGACTGTAGACTTTTTGTGAACTTCTCAAATTTTTTTTTGTTGTTCTCTTTGAATTATTTTTGAAGCTGTGAACTTACAACTAACACATGTACATAAGGGTATTAAGATTTTTTTTCTCAGATGTAGATGCAACATAATAGATTTACCCAAACAGATGTACTGCTTTTCCATCATTTACTTTCTAATAGAAGCTTCACAATTGCTTATTGAAACAGCTTCAGCTGCCACAAATGCACTCTTAGCCAAGGAATCCATGATGTTCCCATTCATTAGAAATATTTATTCAATATACTCATCAACTTGTCTAAAATAATTGTTGATAAATTAAAAGTTTTGGATTGAAAGACTTGTCAAAAGTATTTTTTAGCAATCTAGAACTCCGTCGTGGTTACATTATTTAGAACTAGCTTCAGATCAAGCATGCCAACACATTTATTGCCATATTGGGTCTAACTTATTTTATTTTTATGTAATTTTATCATGTATCAAAGTGTAGAATGCTAATATTGTCCTCAATCTAAGGAGGTTAATAACTTGGAGCAGATACTAAAAATTCAAAGGAAATCACACACACACTCTATTTCTTTATGTCAGCAATTATCCATAATTTTCCAATCAAAAAGATTTTGACAACTCATAAATGTACATGAATATATGTTTGTTATTTAAGGATGATCTTCACTCCAATGGTTGGTTGATATTAAGGGATAATTGTTGAGAGATTGGCAATTCACCTCAGCAAGTCACTACGATAACCAGTGCATGACAGTTGGCATATCGAAAGGTGAGGTTGGTAGGTCACTGATGCGCCTAAAAATTACCTACTTTTTCATATATATTTTACGCTCAATTTTAATGATTTTTAATAAAATTACACTTTAAAGGAAAGTATTTTACATATTTTTGGTATCAGGTACAAGAAATGGACTTTTGGAGAAAATGAAGAAAAAATGGTGCAATTTGGAGTAAAAATGAGCAAGAAAGAAAATTTTGACTTAACACAATTTGATATGTCTTTCTATGCTTAATCTACTTTAAATTTATTTCATATTTTTGAATAAAATTACACTTTAAATAAATGTTATTTTCTTGCTTATTTTGTAGGTATATCTGTTAGAAGCAAAACACAACTGAAACGGGGCGAAACGGAGCTGAAACGGAGCCAAACAGAGCAAAAGGAGCCAAACAGAGCAAAACAGAGCAAAATGGTGGAGTTGTTGCAGGGCGAGACCTGAGGCGCAAAAATCCAGAGAACTGGCGCCTGAGGCACCGGATAAGATGTAAGAAGGATTAAGGCGGTTCGGGACAAATTTTGAGTGAATTTTGAAGGCTCCAAATGATTTAAACGCCCCATGGAGTGATTCAATGCATCTAGATACTTTGGATGGCTCTTTAATGAAGGGATATATCTCTAGAATTAATGGATATGTCTTTTGGAATTCGAATGAAGGGTGAGCTGGAAAATCAAGAGGTCGCGATAAGGAATATAGAAAACCAACCGGGGCAGATTATTAATGCAATTAACAGTTACCCCCCAGAGATTTTTCCTAGTGACCCTGAGATAAACCTAAAGGAGATGAATGATGGGCAATTCAAAATTATCAAACTAATATTTAGAAGAGAATTCGAGGATATGTTTCAAGAGAACTTTGAGGAGAACTTTGAGTTGAGAAATGAGTTGAGAAATGAAGATAAGGAGATTGAAAGATCAGTAAAAAAAAGTCCTAGGGAAGTAGAAAAATCTATTTCCTCAACTAAAATAAATATAGAAAGACTACCTTTTACCATTTACTCAGTACCAAGGGGAAGAATTGTAAGACAACCCTGAACAAAAGAGTACCCTAGAAGAATTTGATCCAGAATTTGAATAATCTAGAGAGAATCCGATCCAAAATTTGGGAGATCATGAAGATCTTATAAAGATCTATTTCTTATAAAATTTAAGGATGATATTAATATGAAAATTGAGAAAATTACTAGAAGAATATTAGATCTAGAATGAAATATGAGGAGCAAGGATATGAATCAATCTGAAAAGGAAGAGCTGAAAAAAAAATTTAAATTTGTGGACTTTATAGGAACCACTGGATCTGGAAAAGATTGGATAATTGATCAAGGATTACTTAAATGGAATTTTGATCCAGGTAGAATCATTTTTCGGGCTAGCAATGTTGAAAAAAGTGTTTTATGGAAGGCAACCGATAGTTATCAGTGTGATTTGATTTAGTGTGCTTGAGAGTTACGACTGTTAGTGTTGTATTGTGTTTGCTTTAATGTGGATTGATCAATTTGATTGATGATTGGTAGATGTTTGGATTGATTGTGGTTTGATTAGATTTTT